GAAAATTGCAAATCTGAATTTCATACTAACCATCCGAAATGTATAGGAATTCAGATTCTTTTTGTTACTTAAAACGTTTTTGAATGGCTAAAAATGATTAAATACCGTAAAATATTATATATGCCAAAGAAAAATACTTAGAAAACCACCATCACTTGATTATCTACTTATATATGTTTGTGTTCAACGCATATATGTTTGTGTTATCATCTAAATTTGAGTTCATATATTGTATTCTACTGATAAAAAAAAAAGGTTGAAGGAGAGGAGATGCTCATCAAAAACAGTTCTCAAATAATGGTAAGAGGGTATTTCTCAAAATTTATAAACTAGGTATGGTATGTTTGTAATTAAAAATGACTATATATAGTGAACATTTGCAAAATAAATTAAATAAAATATAGATATAGAAAATTATGACTGTAGAAAAATGAAATAAGAAATATAATTAATTAATAGAGAATTACGAAATATTATAATGTTTTTGTAAACAAAAGAAGTGTAGTTGTATCAGATGTTAAAAAAAAAAAAGTGTAGTTGTATATATTCTACTTCTTAAAGTTGTAAGTTAAAGGCAGACTCTTTTGTTCGGTCTTCTAGACTTCCTCTCTAAATTTTCTTTTGTAGACACATTTCATTTTGCCCCAATCAAATGATTTTTTTTATATATTTTATAAAATTATTTTCTATTTATTTTAGTAATATTTTTATGTAGCTTTTGTGACGTCTATATATTGCGAACATAAACAAGTATACATACTAAAAAAACAATTTTATTTAAGAAATCATTGACTATCTTTTTTTTTTTGTCAACCATTGACTATCTTTTTAAGAAAAATAAAAACTTTAATGCAAAAGAAAATAACTAAAAAAAAACAATGGATGTGCTCGATCTTCCTTGCGCGTTTCTATTTTTTTTGTTAAATCATCGATTATTTGGGAAGATCGTGACTGCACAGACAATGCTTGTCAACATTTAAAGGTTACCAACCTACCATGCTTATAACTATTTGTCTATTCATTCAACTTTACAATTTCAGATTTTAGAGAAAACTGATGAACAAACTTTTTTAATAATCAATCTATTTTGTTAATTTTTTTTTTTTAACAAGTCGCCTTGGTCCAGTGGTAAAAGAAGGTAATTCCCGCCACCTGGATTCGAGTAGCATTGACCACCGGGGTTCGAGCAATTTAACATGGTTTCCCCGAACCCTAAGATTAGTCTTTGGGCCTAGAAAGCCTTTAGGATCACCTGAGTTATCTCTATTTTTTTTTAAATCACAATGAATGAAAGTCATGTAGTTAAGTTTCGTATGGTTATAACCAAAGCAAAAACTAGGCCTGGGCAAAATATCCGAAACCGAATAGCCGAACCGAAAAACCCGAAAAAATATCCGAATCGAACCCGAACCGATTTTTAAAAATACCCAAATGGTTCCTAGACCTCCTACCCGAAAAAAACCCGAACCGAACCCGAACCGAATCCAATACCCGTGGGTACCCGAATACAAATATACATCTAAAATATTAGTTATATTTATACTTATAATATCCGAAATACCTAAAATTACAATCATAAATCCGAATATACTAGGTATTTTTGAGTAATTCGGATACATTTGGATATATTTGGTTAAAAAGTAACTAATGATGTAGTTTTCTTTTGGGTGATTTTAGTATTTTTAGATATTTTTGGTTATATTTGGGCAAAGAGTAACCAATGTATTTTTGAGAAATTGGGTATTTCGGTTAGATTTGGGTATATACGAGTAAAAAACCCGAACCCGACCCAAACCCGAAAATATTTCGGATATTTTTGGTTATTTTCGGGTATTTTGCTTTTTTATTAAAATATCTGAACCGACCCGAACCCGAACCGAACCCGAACCGAATTTTAGAATACCCGAATGGGTCTCGACCCCCTATCCAAATAGACCCGATACCCGAAAAAAAAGAACCGAACCCGAACGGGTACCGAATGCCCAGGCCTAGCAAAAACGAAAACGATAACAATTTTTTTTTTTACTTAAAATGAACAAAAGACAAGAAATTTGCATATCATATTGAGGTTTTTTTGGAGTTTTCGAAGTGGTACTTAATATGCTAAATTTAGAAAATGAGTTGCTCATTAATAATTAGTTTATTTTGTCATTTTTAAGATATGAAAGTAATAAATTGTTTTTATGTTATGGAATATTCTAAACAAAGTTTTATGTTATGAGTAATTTTTTTTTCTATTTTAACTTATGTATATTTTGAATATATTTTAGTTGTCGTATTTATGATGTATCCATTTTTAGAAATGTGACTTTTTACTTTGAAAGCAGCCCCTCTATAGTTACTTTGAAAGTAAAAGCCGATATTAAGGAATGGTTAGAAAGGCATGAATATAGACTTACACTAAACAGAGACCTGGACCAAATGCCGGCAATTGTTCCAACTTGGACAAAACCTCCTCTTGATTATGTTAAATGCAATTTTGATGCTACATTTGATGCCAACACTAATCACACAAATGGATGATGGATTATTCGGGACCATAACGGAGCACCTAAAGCGTGGGGTTCATCACGTTTGAATGTCACAGGCTCACCTTTGGAAGCAGAAGCACAAGCTTTACTCTCCTCAATGTAACAAACGTGGATTCGTGGCTTTACCAAAGTATATTTTGAAGGCGATTGCAAGATATTAATGGACAGCATCAATAATGGCTTATTGGACGCATCTATTAGAGGATTATGTGAAGATATCAAGTTCTGGATGCCTAAGTTTAAGGACGTTTGTTTTGTTTATGTTAATCGTTCTTGTAATCAAGTAACTCATTGTCTTGCCAAATTTGGTAGCACTCAATCTAGTTTTTACTCTGCAGTTTCAGATCCGCCTCCTTGGATTGTGAATATTTTGTATGCCGATATTTCGAATTAATATAAGTTATTTTGACGGAAAAAAAATCCATTTTTAGAAATTTTGATATAGTCTTTTTCTGTATCCGTCTTTGTATTTGTTTCGGTGTAACATATGTATAATAAGGTGGTTGATCGATTAGTCGATACATACTCAATTTGTATCCTATTTTTATGATGGGAATTTCTGAGAAATGCCCATTTTAGTGTGTATATTTTCAAAAATGCTTCTTCATGTGTCTATTTTCAAAATACCTCTCATTAAATCCGAAAAGTTTATAAAGTTTCATAAGACACTTGTGGATGGTTACTACTATTCAAAGAATCGATCTAAGTATTTATAAAATTTTATATGTAATTTATAAAATTTAATAAAGTTTTACAAGGTATTTATAAAGTTTTACAAAATATATATAAGGTTTTATAAGGTATATATTTATCAAGTATTTAAAAGGTATTTATAGAGTACATTTATAAAGTATTTATAAAGTTTTACACTGATAGAAAAGTAGTTTGTTTATGATTTTATAAGGTTAAACACGTATTTGGATAAAAATGTATTTTGGAATTTCCCCACCCCCTTCCTTTATGTTTTAATATTCTTACAACTCCCCCAGGCTCCATGAAGGTCATTTATTAATTATTAGTGTTGTGAAGCACGGTCAAAACGTTAACGTGAAGAAAACCTTAGTTTAATTTATTTATTTTTACCAGAAAGAGGTTATAGGTAAATGGAATAAAAAATATGTTGAGGTTTCTACAAAATAATGTCGTTTCCTTGTTAAGAAGAGAGGAGAAATGGAGAATATGGGGATCGTGGGAGGTGGATAAAGCAGTTGATACGTTTAAGTGAATTTTTTTTTTCTTATTTTTTCCGTCATAAATTGGTTTAGAAAAATAAAGGGAGTGAATTTGAGACTTAAGGCACTTGTCAAATAAAGAGAGATGTAGTTTTTAGAAAAGTGACTTGTGATTTATTATAATAAGATTAGTGAAAGTAAATGAAAAGAAAAAGAAATATGAAGGTTAATAAATACTTCCTCCCTATCACTTGATGCTTTTGCGATTTTTTTTTGTCTCATTTCAAGTGATATTTTCAACTTTCTATGCAAAACCTAATTGTAATTAATTATTTTTTGACCAATAATCTTTTACAGTATGCTTTTTTATTTTGGTTATATTTTTTCTTTAATGGTGTTTTTATGTAAAAGAGATAAAATGAATGAAAATTATAAGTTTGTTTTTGTGCGAATATATTTGACAATATGTAAACTGAATATTAATAATAAAGATATTTTATCATTATGTTTTTGTTATAGAAAGATATTTTACCATTATTTCTTATAACGAATTAACTTTATAAACGTTTCAAAATATGGAAACTTAAATTTACTTCTATTTTACTGTTTTGGAGACCAAAAAAGCATTTATTATTGTATTTCACGTCATAAGGGTGTATCAAATATAATGTCATAATTTAAGATGTTTATATGTTTCGATTTGTGTCTAAACTAAAAATAGCGAAAAAATATTCGTCTTCTTTTTTTTTTTTTTTTTTGTGCACCGAAAATATTCGTCTCTTTAAACTTACGATTTAGTCCATTAACTCTTCCTTATCACCACATATATAATAAGGCAACGCAATATATGTTTGCTCTCTATAGTATATATATATGATCATCAATAGGTAAAGTGAAAATAAAATCATTTAAAAGGTTATCAATTCTCTTGAGAAGTGAATTCTAACGAAAGAAAAAAACACAAAATGCAAAACCAATGTCCCACCCTTGGTCCCAAATGTGACATCTGTGATTGCTCAGGCAGTGGATGCCAATCTCAATTCCCAGGTAATATATGTTCATCTATACACTTTTTGAGTTCTTCTACACATGATCTTGAGAAAACTCCACCAATCATG